CCCCCCCCCCCCAACCCTCCGCTCGACTCCCCCTCGGGCGAGGGCCGGCTGAGACAACGGCGGCCCTCCCGCTCTGCCCCGCTCCCGCTCCACGTCTGCCCCCCCTCCCGCGGGGCTCCAGAGGCGGGTCCAGCCCGTGGCGACGAGGAGCCTCCTCCTCCTCCTCCTCCGCCTCCTCTCCTCCTCCTTCCTCCTCCTCCTCCTTCCTCCTCCTATCCTCCTCCTCCCTCCTCCTCCTCCTCCCCCCAGGGGGGGGGGAGGGCGAGGGGAGGAGGCGAAAGGGGGAGGGGGAAGGGAGGAGGATATGTGATGGGGGGAACAAAGGCCGTGACAGTTTTTTTTTTTGGGGGGGGGGTTCGGAAGAGGAGGGGCGGAGATTTTGTTCGAGGAGGAGGAGGAGGAGGAGGAGGAGGAGGAGGGCAGGAGAGGAGAGGAGGAGAGGAATGGGAGGACACCAGAAGAGGAGATGAGGAGGAGCATTGAGGGGATGAGAGGGGCTCATGCTGCTGGGGCGATGCTGCTCTTTGACGTCAGGGGCCGTTCGTAGATGGGCCCTGACGGGAGGGCACTTTCCCGCACGCGATCTGGCTTGGTTCAAGGGCTCGGTTCGGTCAGCGTTCGAGGGAGAAGAGGGGGGGGTGGAAGGAGGGGGACGGACGAGGGGATCGGGGGGGACAGCACCGAATGGGAGGACTGAGGATGGAGATTTGCCTGCTCTTTCGGAGAGATCCGGACGTTGCATGCTGCTCGCTCCCGGCGTTCCGCATGGTTTCGGGGCGGCGCCTCACGGATCCGTCCGGCTCGCCACGTGCCGTGGGAAGAGGTGCCCGAGGAAGGCATGGGTCGGGGGTGGACAGAACCCCCAACAGTGACACGTCGATTAGTGAATTGTCAGTTTTCGGTTCTCGAGAGGGCGCCGTGGCCGTTATTTTCCAGGCTTGCGGTCGCCAGGTTTGGGCCTCAGGTCGTTTTCACTAAACCACGTTTTACTAAAGGGGGGTCTGTCCATCCCCGAATGGGGAGGGGAGGGGTGGGGGTTGGGAAGGGGAGGGCGGGCTCACAGTTCCACCAGAGCCTGCGTGTCCGTTGATGTGGCCGGCATCGTCCAACCGATCCCCATCCCCATCCTCATCCCCGTCGCGACCCCCACCAAATTTCAAAATATCCACCCCAGGTGGGGATACACCCCTCGAAGCCCGAAGGGAACGACTTGTATTCCCATCTGGGGGGGGTAAATCGGCCAGTGGGGCCCAGGCCACGCCGCTGGGGATGGGGATCGGTTAGACGATACTCGTGTGGTGCTCCCGCGGTGCGCTCTGGCGGCCCGACGGTTTCCGATGCCGTGTTGGCTCCAGCATCTCGCTTCAAGGCTTGCTGGCGCGCACCCCTGCGAGTTTCCCCGCGCAGTCGACGCCTTCTGGTTCCATGGCTCTAGCTGCCTGCGGCAAGTCCCGCCACCGTGCCAGCCCAGATGGGCCTGCTTTCCACCACCACCGCCATCAGTCGGGGGGGGGAAGGGGGGGAGGACGAGGAGGAGGAGGGAGCTGTGGAGGAGGACCCCTCCCCCTCATACTCACAGGTGTGGGCGGTGGGAAACAAGCCAAACCAAGCCCAGTGCTCTCGGAAGCGGCTGTTCTAGGGCGGCAGTGACGTGCGAGCCGAGCGGCGTTGCAGGTCGTTCGTGGCCCTCTTTTGCCGCCTTGGCACTGTTTGGGGCCTCTCTTGGGCCGTCTCGGGGCCCTCTTGGCGGCGGCCTGGGAGGTCCTCTTGAGGCCGTCGTGGGGCCTTGCTGGGCCGTCGAGGGGCCCTCCAATGTGGTTTTTCCTGAGGCCGTCTTGGAGCCGCCATGGGCAGTCTAGTTGCCCGCTCGGGCTGTCTGTAGACGGTCTTGGAGGATTATTTAGCCCTTGGGAAGGGGCCCTCCTGGCCGTCATGGGGCCATCTTTGAGGCCTCTAGGGCCGTCTGAAGTTGACGAAGTCCGAAACGTTGAAGCCGCCTACGTTTCTTGAAAACATGAGGAAAGCACATACTTTTAATGTTTGCCGGCTCTGTTGGATCCTGCGTTCGCCCTCTTTGGCCGTCTTGCGGACCTCGTGGGCCGTCTTGTAGGGGCCCTTGTGCCGCCTTGAAGTCAACTTGGGCCGTCCTGCGGCCATCTTGGCCGTCTTTGAGGCGTGTTGGACCACTTGGGCGGTCTTGACTGTCTGCCTCGGCCGTCTCGGCAGCACAGGAGCGCGGATCCCTCGTTTTCGTGACGACGGATCGTGCAGTGGAGACCCATGTCAAGAAACACCCTGCTCTCCTCCAGGGTGCCCTGGGTGTCTTGGGTTTTGCGATGGGAAGCGCGACGTTCCCATACAAAAAATCAGTGGACGTCATGGGATCTCATGGTTGGGTTTCTTGTGGAAGGCTTCTGGTGGACTGACCTCCACTGTAACCACAGGGCGCGGACCATTGGTTTTACGAGAGATCGCCTCGGGAAGGGTTGTGGCGGCGATGCATGCAGAACTCTGCGACTGGGGGAGGAGGAGAAGGAGGAGGAGGAGGAGGAGGAGGAGGAGGAGGAGGAGGAGGAGGAGGAGGAGGAGGAGGAGGAGGGAGGAGGAGGAGGAGGAGGAGGAGGAGGAGGAGGAGGAGGAGGAGGAGGAGGAGGGGGGGTGTACCCTTGGAACAGTACAGGAGCCCAATCAGACAGCACACGGCGTTATACCACACCTAAGTGTGCCAGGGGGCACGGTGGCGGAGTTCCGTCCTTTCGCGTTGCTTGCGTTGTCATGTTTGGTTTCAGCAGTTGTTGGGGACGGAGACGCCGCCCATCCCTGCAACGACGGCGTGTGCCACGCAGAGGAGGAAAACGCTGCTCTTCTACAAAGCACGCTAGCGCCAACGAAGGTGAAGGTACAATTGCCAGAAGAATTGGTGCAGAAGGTCGATGACGCAAGGCACAAGACGCACATCAAGATCAGAAGAGCCACCGTGAGGAAGTCCAACAGCGTGTCCGACGTGTGGGATCAGATGTCTGGTGCCGTGAAAATCGACGAGCTCAAGGAGAAGCTTAAGACTGCTGCCAAGGATTACGCCAAGCAGAAGCTCCAAGAGGAAATCGATAAGCTTGAAAAGGCGTACCCAGCCGCTTTTGAGATCAAGGATAAGTTCCAAAGCCAATGGGACCAGATTGTCTCCGGCGTGAACCTAGATGAGTTGAAACAAGAGGTGAAAGAATGTTCGGACGATGTCACTAAGTGCGCTAAGGACAAACTCCCAAAGCTCCAGAGCCAGCTGGAGGAGGCACTGAAGGGCACCAACCTCGAGGGTATCAAGACGCAGGCCGAGGAGTATTGGAATAAGATCCAGCTGGAGCTGCCTGACATGGACGACCTCAAGGAGGCACTCGGAGAGTATGGCGGGCAGGCCAAAGAGGCCTGGGACGAATTCATGCAGACGAACGACTTCTCGTCGTTGACTGACGCAGCACAGAGCATCGCCAACGATGCTTGGGGCAAGGTTTCGGGGGCGGTAGGTGGATGGTTCAGGTGAAGCGCGTGGGCAGTCGATTCGATCCGTTTGCGCGGCAGACTTCCATCGCGTTGCTGTTTTTTGTCGGATGTTGCGAGGAACAGCTGTCTCCACGAAGTTGCGTTGTAGTCAGAGGTGTGGCGACAGAGGCTTGATCCAGCCAGCGGCCAGCGAATTGCTCTGGGCTCGATCTGGAGACGGCGCTGGCAGCTGACTGGCTTTTTGGATCGTGGCCCTGTGGGCACACGCACACCGGCAAAGAGTCACCCCGGGAGGTGCGGCACAAGTGCGCGGTTGTTGCATGTCGTTGGGGTTTCTGCTACCGGCGTTCTGACGTGCATACTTGCACTACCTGATGGAGTTGTTGCTAGCTGCGCACAGCTCAAAAGAGCATCAGCATGCTGTGCTTGGTGGACTCTGCTCGCGATCGAGGTGGTGCCAGACTCACAGCAGTCATTCAGCACCACCACCCACTGAACCACCCTAACTCAACCCGAAGGCCCCAATTTGCCCTTCATTCCAAATGGGGGCGGGGGGAGCATCGGGGAACGTTGCAAAACCCTGAAACCGTGCCCCCCCCCCAAACCCGCAATTTGGGTCTTCGGGCTGGGTTGGAGTTGTCTGGTAGGTCGTCATACAAGCTTATGGGGACGAACAGCGGCATAAACATAAAAAGTCGGAGGTCCGCGCGGATTTCTCGAATCGGCGCTAGACTTATGATGCTCCAACCTACTTTAGCCTTGACCACCAGAAAGAATTTCGAGCACCAAAACAAAGTACCCAAACTCGAGGGTGTTCACGTGTCGGGCCCTGGCAGACACTCGCCCGACATTGCTTCGACACTCTCTCGACACTGTTTCGACACTTTTCTGGGTGCTCGAGATTCCTTCTGGGACGTGGTCCTGAAGTACGATAGTAACAGCATGAGCACAAACATACAAAGTCGGAGGTCCGTGCGGAGTGCTCGACTCGGCGGCTGGACCCCCCTCCCTGAAGCGCGGAGCGCGCCAAGTGCGGCGCCCGAGGCGCCGCCATGGGGAGGCCTCGGCGCCGCTCCGAGGCATCCGCACGGACCTCCGAGTCTCTCTGTTTATGCCACTCTTCGTGCCCCTACATATTCAGGAGGAAAAACGACACACAGACACAATGAATCGTCGATTCTCTGGAAAGTATGGGAAAATATGGGAAGTGGGGGGGAAGACGAAAACCCAGAACATATGGGAAAATATGGGGGATCCTGTTATTTATGTGTATTAATTTGCGTGTCCCAGGGCCCCTTCAACATATGCCAGAGTACCCAGACCCTGAGCCCCGTGCCGGGCCGGGAAACCTTCCCGGATGTTCCCCTCTTTTTGAGCAGCCTTACCCACGGGTTTCGGCCTCCCCCTGACCGCTCAGAACAGTTCGGGGGAGCACGACGCAGCGACAAGAGCGGCGCATTAGGGCCCAAAACGCTCCAAGATGGCCTCCGAACGGCCGGAGAGCCTCCGAAAGGTTTCCAAGACGCCCCAAGAAGGCTCAGATATGCTCCCCAAGAGGGCCCAGGATGGCCAAAGTTCGAGCAACCCGTCAGCAACACGTATGTTTTCAGCAGATTCCATCTTCAAATCTTAAAAGCGTCCCAGAACGGCCCAAGAGGCCCCCAAGATCGCCCCGACACGGCCCAGGACGCCCCCAAGAGGTTCCCAGGACGGTTCAGGAGAGCCCAAAGGCGGACCAAGAGGCGCCAAAGACGGCCCACCCCGAGAGGGAGAATTCCAGCTGACATGTCGGCCGCCAACAGGCCCCCCAAGAGGCCTTGAATGGTGGAGGCGACCGAAACAGTTAAGTGAGGGAAATCAGTAGCCATATGCGCGGCCACAGAGGCAGCTTGATCCAGATCGATGTGTTGTTGTATCGTCTCACGGCAGCCTGTTATTCATTTTTCTTTGTGTGTGAGTTTCAAACTGCTCCGCACCCTGGCAGATCACCTTCCCTTTCCGAGATGGATTGTTCATTCGCGTCCTCCCTTCTCCTCCTCCTCCTCCTCCTCCTCCTCCTCCTCATCCTTCTCTTGGTCATCTTCCTCGTCCTCATCATCCCTCTCCTCTCCCCGTCTCGTTCTCCCTCCCTGACTCCCTCCCTTCCTCCTGCTTCCCTCACCCCTTCGTTCTCGCGAGGCTCGCTCCCTCGCTCGGTGGGGATGGAGGGGTGGGGGGTGGACAGGAGAGTTGTGGAGTGGGCGAACAGGGTTAAGTCGGGCATGTCCCTCTACAGGGGGAATACTCAAAAATAGTTTGAACAAATGTGGGGACAATTTTTCTGGTATTATTGATTATTGTGGTGGATGATTTGGCTACCTTTTATCTGTCTCCCAAAATCCGCCTGTAGGGGGACAAGCCCGACCTAAGAATAGGGGCAGGGTGGGAGCGGGGAAGGGAAGATGGGTGGGGAGAGGGGGGAGGAGGGGGCGGTCAGGCGAAGGGAGTGGATGGGGAGGGGGGGTGGCGAGGGAATGGGGTGGAGGGGAGGGGTGGGGAGAGAAGGGGATGGACTCTGGCTGGTCCTGCGAACGTGGCTGAAACTCTTGGGCTCTAACGTCGACGGTGAGGACTATTGGCGTTACGACGACGACGTTGACGAGCGTTACGACGACGGGTGTTTCGACGACGAGGGTGACGAGCGTCACGACGATCACGGCGTCGACCGTTACACTGACGTCGAGTGTGACGACGACGAAGGCGACGCGCGTTACAATGACGCTGGCGACTAGTATTATGACGACGACGACGGCGACGGTAACGACGGCGACGAGCGTGATGCCGAGCAATGATGATGACGACTTGAATGAGAGTTATGAGGACGAGGAGTGCTACCACGACGATGGCGACGAGCGCTACGATGACGACGGCGACGAGCGTTACGACGACGAGTGTTACTACGACGAGGGCGACCAGCGTTACGGCGACGACGGCGACGAGCGCTACGACGATGGCGACGGGCATAATGACGACGATAGCGACGAGGGTTACGATGACGGCGACGAGCGTTTCGCCGTCGACGAGGGAACGCCTCCAGAGGGTACCTACAGAGGAAGGGGGCGCTGCGGACGGCATGGTAGACATCGTGGAAGGTTCGGTAGCCCTGTTGGCGGCTTCCTGCGGCGCGGGGCTGGCTGCCTGTGGCTCTCGCTGCCTGGCGCGTTCACGGCAACATGGCGCGGCGAAGCGGCCTCGCCGCGCCATGTTGCAGCGCACGCCCGGGGGGCAGGGGACTGGCCGGCGGTGTCCGCGCTTCGAGACCTGGGCCCGCCGAGGTGGCACACCCCCCGCCTGCAAACCCCCGCCAAAACCCCGGCCACGACCCTTGCCACGCTTCGAGCCATGGGAAGGGTTGTTTACCAGTAAGATTGACACGCCAAAAGGCGATGACAATCTTAGGGATGCGGCCTCAAACAATTACCCTGGCGACGTACCCAACCCCTGCGAACTGCGGGGCATGAGTAGCTTGGGAGACGTTTTACGGAGGTGACGACGTGACATGGGCGGATATACTTCTGCGAGCGGCATTCGTGAGGCTCGCAGCCCCCCAAGGATTGTGATGTCCCGCTCAGATCTGCCTGGTGCCTCGCTCCGCTGGACCCACCAGCAGCCCTCGAAAGTGGCGACAGTTTCGCAGATCGCAGCCCCCCAGGGACGGCGAGGTCCCGCTCAGGTCCGCGCGGTGCCTCACTCCGCTGGACCCACCAGCGGCCCTCGAAAGTGGCGACAGTTTCGCAGATCGCAGCCCCCCATGCACGGCGAGGTCTTGCTCAGATCCGCGCGGTGCTTCACTCCGCTGGACCCACCAGCAGCCCTCGAAAGTGGCGACAGTTGCGCAGATCGCAGCCACCCATGCACGGCGAGGTCTTGCTCGGATCTGCGCGGCGCCTCACTCCGCAGGACCCACCCGAAAGTGGCGACAGTTTCGCAGATCGCAGCCACCCAGGCACGGCGAGGTCTTGCTCAGATCTGCGCGGTGCCTCACTCCGCTGGACCCACCAGAAGCCCTCGAAAGCGGCGACAGTTTCGCAGATCGCAGCCACCCAGGCACGGCGAGGTCTTGCTCAGGTCCGCGCGGTGCCTCACCCCGCTGGACCCACCAGCAGCCCTCGAAAGTGGCGACAGATTTCTTGCTCATGCGCGGTGCCTCACTCCGCTGGACCCACCAGCAGCCCTCGAAAGTGGCGACAGTTTCGCAGATCGCAGCCCAGGCACGGCGAGGTCTTGCTCGGATCTGCGCGGTGCCTCACTCCGCTGGACCCACCAGCAGCCCTCGAAAGTGGCGACAGTTTCGCAGATCGCAGCCCCCCAGGCACGGCGAGGTCTTGCTCAGATCCGCGCGTGTCACTCCGCTGGACCCACCAGCAGCCCTCGAAAGTGGCGACAGTTTCGCAGATCGCAGCCCCCCAGGCACGGCGAGGTCTTGCTCAGATCCGCGCGGTGCCTCACTCCGCTGGACCCACCAGCAGCCCTCGAAAGTGGCGACAGTTTCGCAGATCGCAGCCCCCCAGGCACGGCGAGGTCTTGCTCAGATCCGCGCGGTGCCTCACTCCGCTGGACCCACCAGCAGCCCTCGAAAGTGGCGACAGTTTCGCAGATCGCAGCCCCCCAGGCACGGCGAGGTCTTGCTCAGATCCGCGCGGTGCCTCACTCCGCTGGACCCACCAGCAGCCCTCGAAAGTGGCGACAGTTTCGCAGATCACAGCCCCCCAGGCACGGCGAGGTCTTGCTCAGGTCCGCGCGGTGCCTCATTCCGCTGAACGCACCAGCAGGCTTCGAAAGTGGCGACAGTTACGCAGATCGCAGCACCTCAGGGACGGCGAGGTCTTGCTCAGATCCGCGCGGTGCTCGAAAGCGGCGACAGTTTCGCAGATCGCAGCCCCTCAGGGACGGCAAGGTCCCGCTCAGATCTGCGCGGTGCCTCACTCCGCTGGACCCACCAGCAGCCCTCGATAGTGGCGACAGTTTCGCAGATCGAAGCCCCCCAGGCACGGCGAGGTCTTGCTCAGATCTGCGCGGTGCCTCACTACGCTGGACCCACCAGCAGCCCTCGAAAGTGGCGACAGTTTCGCAGATCGCAGCCACCCAGGCACGGCGAGGTCTTGCTCAGGTCCGCGCGGTGCCTCACCCCGCTGGACCCACCAGCAGCCCTCGAAAGTGACGACAGTTTCGCAGATCGCAGTCCCCCAGGCACGGCGAGGTCTTGCTCAGATCCGCGCGGTGCCTCACTCCGCTGGACCCGCGACAGTTTCGCAGATCGCAGCCCCCCAGGCACGGCGAGGTTTTGCTCAGATCCGCGCGGTGCCTCACTCCGCAGGACCCACCAGCAGCTCTCGAAAGTGGCGACAGTTTCGCAGATCGCAGCCCCCATCGTCGGCGAAGAGAGGGCAGGAGGAGGCGGGAGGCGGGAGGAGGACGCGACCACACCCCTCTGTTCAAAACTAATACCCAACCAAGGAGGGTTGGGAATAAGGGAACCCCTAAGTTTGGCATCGTGCTGAGGAGATGCCCAGCATTGGGATAGGGATATGTTCCAGGCTGATAAGTTGTGGCCAGGAATTACGCCTTGCGCGGGCCCGCTCTCCTTCGGCTTGGGTCGGGGGCTGCGGCTCGCAGTCAAGCAGTGGCAAAGCGTCCCGGTTCGCCTATAGCCCTACCAAACAATGTTCTAAGAACATTTTGTGGTTCCCACGAAATGTTTTTAGAACATGTTTGGCGGAGTCTGTCTTGTTTTAACACGTCGGGTTTATGTTCTAAGAACATCGTACTGTTGCGTTCTAAGAACATTTCGTGGTAGGACTATAGGAAGGCCGGGACGGTCGGTCCCTTATCAAGGGCTGCGACTCGCAGGCTGGAGGGGGTTCAGTCAACATGTTGTGGTTCCACACCCAGGGAGGAAACCCCCGTCCCCATTGACTCGTCCTTTGGCCATGCGTCGTGGCATTTTCGGTTCTCTCATGCTAGTCGGTCTGGAGGCACATAGGCTCGGAGGTTGATAGACCTCCTACCCTGACACGTCGACTAGCAGATTGGCCGTTTTCGGTTCGCGAGAGGTCGTCGCGGCCGTCATTTTTGCGGGTCCGGGTCCGTCGGTTTCGGACCTAGGCCGTTTTCATTAAAGGGTGTTTTATTAAAGGGAGGTTTGTCCACCGCTGATAGGCCCTGCATTGGGAGAGGGGTGACAGTGGTTGGATTCAGAGGGCCTCAGCACGACTGCAGCGAAGCTTGGCTCCAGACCAGAAAGTGTATCACGGGACAACCCATGACACATGTCGTAATACATAGTATGCGTATGGTGCAGCGAGTGAACAAGTGTGAAGCAACTGTTACACAAACGTGAAACTAGCTTGACGAAGGACCCAACCAGATGCAGCTGCGAGTATCGCGAGGCCGGTGAGACGACGGAGGGGGGCCAGCAAAAAAGGCATGCGAACACCACCACTGGGGACTTCGGTGTAGCTCCCTATGGGGCCACGGTCCTCGTGAGGGGTGTGCCGAACTGGCCCGAGTCCGCCATGCGAACCCTGCCACGTAGGCCTTCGGTGGAGCTCTCTTTATGGAAGCACGATCCTTGTGAGGGGTGTGCCGAAGTGGCCCGAGTCCGCCATGCGGGGCCTTCGGTGGAGCTTTCTATGTGGCCACGATCCTCGTGAGGGGTGCGCCAACATTGTGGACATGCGGAGGGCATAGGCAGGGATGGGAGAAGGGGGGAGGGGGCAGCGGGAGGTGAGTGACGCGGGGCGTTGTCTATTCAAAACGAGGACCCAACACCATAGTATGGTTGGGCAAATAACAGTATACGACAGGTTCGAAGCAGTGTAAACACATGCAAATCAATGTAGACCGTGTTTAAGGCAGTTTGATATACGTGTCAAATAGTGCGCGACACGTGCAAAACACGTGTAGCACAGTGCAAACCACGTGTAAACACAGTTGTAAGAAATTATGTGACATAGTGTACGCACACCATGTGTAAGACAGCTCATTCACATGAGCAGCAT